ACTTTGATAGAAGCAAATAATGGTAATGAATCTTTGTTGTAGTTCATCTGATTCTTCAGAGCATGAAAAGAACAAACTAAATAACATCCATCCAAATATTAGTAATGCCAACCACCATGCACTACACCAGCGCCTTGTCCTTAATTACTCATCTGGAAATCGTTATTTAGTTCCTTTCTGGATTAGTTCCCAGTAGAGTTTTAAAATCCCTGAGGCCGTTTCAGGGGCTAGTTGGAGTAAGAATATATAACAATATTTCTTATCATTTATCCACAGTGTTCATGTCTCACAGCTACAGTAATAAAACCAGGAAGTGGATCTGTTTGAGCACCGTTAAAAAACAAGGAAATGATTCCCTAAACTCCTTAATGTCCTCATTCGCTGCTTGGTGGACAGCTTTCGAAAGAATCTTGCTGGTTCTCTTTCATGGCATCTTTCACAGAAAATACCCCTCACACCTCTCCACCTGTGTCAGCTTAAAACACTCAGATAAACTCCTGCCTCTGTTCAATTTGTCTCACAGCATTCAACCTGAAGATACACATTTTCACATGAGCTTAATACTGGTTTGTCAATTTTCTGATCCGAGGAGTTAAAAAAAAAATCAAAGTAAAGTAAATTGTTACCAGGAGATCAATATAGGTACCTAACTCCACACACTGTGGCCATCTCCTAAAAATAAGCAATATTGTTCCCTGTTTGTGTTTGTAATGTGACTCTCAGTTCTCAATTTTAGCTCTGTGTTTGGCACAGTACTTTCACTTTTAATGTTCAGTTACACTGCCATGCAGTGGGTACCTATTATTACACAGAAAAGCAGTTATTGCTGCCTATACATGTGACAACATTTTAGTTTCCTGTGATGTCAAGTTTGCATACCTGTACTGTTAACTGTTACTACCAATCTATTTCTACCATTGCCTTCTTAAAATGTTATGGACGTGTATATCTCATGTACAGATGTAAAGGAAACCTTAATTCATCCTTAGGCTGAGCCACCTGAAACATCTTGCATTCTGTTTGTTATATCTGTGTTTGTTAAGCTACAAAAACAAAGAAGAGAGCATGATTCTAGATTATTTTTCAGGGCACCAATATTCCTGTCGCGTAGAACGCTCCGTGTTTTATCAAATGCGGCTGATAAAATCTTCATAAGAAAGCAGAGGATTTTATATGAAAATGTTTAATAATATTATGGTCAGGAGAAAATAATACAGTAAACAGCTTGGCTCAGAGAGACAAAGAGAGTCAGATAGAAACTGAGTCTCATGTAACTTTGTTCATTCCATATCAATGTTATGAATTAAACTTGTTTATAATGAAAAAAATAAAAAGAATTTCAGAATATTTTGTTAAAACCATTGTTTGAATATGGGTGATATCTTAAGCCTATTCAAGTAGAGACACTTACATAGTAGAGTAGTACATATTTAACATAATTTAACATATTTATACATAATTAATCCTGACACATCAAAGAGCCTACCCATTGTTATTTTGAGGTGCATCAGTTTCAGTAATTACCAAGAAAGTAAAAAGTAAAGATGTATTTCTAAAACATATTTCAGTGGAAAGGCACCTCAAAATGCTTAGATCATAAAAACATCAAAACAAATGTGCAGTAAAATCGTTAAAATCCTTAAAAACTCATTCAATTACACAACAAATTATCAATGTCCCCACATTAAGCTGGATGTTAGCCATCCCTTTCTACTTCTGGTCCTAAAAAAACATTTTCATTAGACAAATGCCAAACCATTTTTTTGCAGGAGCTAAATGTATTACAAAGTTATTAAACAAAAGATGTGAAAATAAAGACTATAGTCAGTCCTCTGTGGAGCACTACCCCTCTGGCAGTCATAGGGACAGATGGAAGGGTGGAAGTTAGGGAAAACAAGCTTGAAAATGACAGCATAGGGAACTGGAGAAAATAAAACATTGAAAAACCAATAAAGCAAAAGTCTCACAACACTAACTTTCAAAAAGTCTTTTGGTCACTAAATCATATTTGTTCTTATCTTACTCTTAAGTCATGGTAAACAGTTTCTTCTCCTGCTAATTCAAATTTAAGAAACCTTTAGTTCATTAATTGTTTGTTTGAAACATTGTAATTGTCATTAAAATCAGGTAATTAAACATTACAAAGCTTTACAATTTATGATTTAAAAATTATGCAAGGATTATATTTAATGTGTATACTGTCTGTGTTTTTAATTGCACGCAGAGCAAATTTCAAGAACTTAACTAAAATAAACATATTAAGTTGTGCACATACAACTCAAAAATAACAATTTAAGGACAACCTTGCTGTAATACAGTCTAAATGTATGAAAAAATCCAAACTGGGTGAAAGGTTAGAGCAGTATTAGAATGTAAAAATAAAAATCTGGATGCGCTCCATGACCTGCCTGAATTTAGATCCGCCTTAAGCACTTTAGGTAAAACACTGGTCCTCAAACTCACTACCTGCTGCCAAAAATGTCTGGTGAGGTCTAAAGTGAGTAAAAAAAACCTGAAATTGTTTTTACGTCGAAGATGAGTAAAAACAAAGAAAATGATAAATTACCCAAAGTTACACTATTTAATTTAATTTTGTTATGAAGCAAGCATATCTTATAGATCAGATCAAACTGTTGTTTGACAATTCTGATGTCAATGCTTTCCTTACTACTCATGCATATGAACCACTATTAAGTTACTCATGCTTATGTGTAAAATAATAAATCCTTTTTGAAATGTAAGATCTACATTCCTGTATCCTTTAAAACAGTGGGTCTATTCTTCCAAGTATATCCTGCTCAGTAGTATTCAGTGTAGAAACAAGTCTGAGCAGTTACTACAGTATAAATACTGTACGTTTTATTTGAGGACAGGACTTCTCTTTGGGCCATGGGAGCCTATTAGCCCTGCAGGGCTGCCTGCTCAGGCTTCAATGTGCCGCAGGCATAGACCCTCTGTCAGTTCTTCTGTGCCCTGCCTCCAGTCACTCCTTAAGGGAGATTTTCAAAGTGGTACATCTGTTATGTCACCAAGATGTTGGCGTTAAAGTGATAGAATACTAGATTTTTCAAAATGTATTTTAAGAAGTTAGGAACTTTATCCCCAGCTAAGCGATTACATATATTATTCTGAGGAAAATTATCGATTGAGCAGTTTATCTGTCTGTCTGTCTGTCTTCACCTACCTACCTGTTTGTCAGTCTATCCATCCATCTTAAATAGTATAATTTGTCTTGGTAATTAGAGATAAAAACATGTGAGAGAATGTATGTTAGCGATAACCCTTAGTACAGTATAGCATGCAAAGTTAAGAGTTCCCTATAATCAGAGCATAAAAGAAGTTGAATTTTCAATTAACTTTTTCTGATAGTCCTCGTAGATATGAGCTTGATTAAAAAATATAATCCATTTTGAGAGGCATACAATTCACATCAGACAAAGAGGACATGTCCATAAGAAAAAGTGCACAAAGTAGGAAGTGCTGGGCTCTGTATCTCAATATTAGCAGTTCCAATGCTTCTATTTCTGTCTGATCTGATTTACAGATCAGACATGCTTCTGCCTGAGTCTATATTTTAGTGTCATGGTACTTTTAATTAAAAACGTTATATCTTTCACTTTTGATTATTCCTACTGTTTATGGAATTTTAATAACTCTGTTAGATATGATTAAGAAGAACATTAAGCTCTGATGTGAGACATGGAATACTGTAAACAAAATAACATATTGCACCAGCGCTCACCATGTGGGACTAGTAATTAGAAAATGGAAATGAATAATGTCACTTCTGATATTTTTCATGTTGTACTCAAGAATCCTGTATTAGAACCTTTCCCAAAGGTTTCCCCTCAACATTTCTGCAAAAAAAAGAGCACACACTCATAAAACTATATCACAAAGGAGTTTGCAAGTAAGTTAATATTCATTTCAATGCATATGAGAAAAAAAGTGTGCCATGTTGCAAATGTATTTACTGGAACAGATTTCAAAGTGATGACATTGCAGCTTCTGTGTAATATGTGCAGAATTTATAAGCTAAGCTGGGGAAAACCAATATAAATGAAACATAGGTGGACCACATGCACATGAGAGCTTTTAAAGATTTTTGTATTGGAATGCATCAGTCACTGAGAACCAATAGACAGGACCCAGGTGCTGTGGGCGATCTTGGCTGTCCTCCATTTAGCTTGAACTGCTGCCAGAGTTTTAAATAAGTCAGTGGGTGGCAAAGATTCAAGGGGCATCCCTGTAAGGAGGGCAAATTTGAACTTCCTCTTTAATTGATTCAAACTTGAGGTTGCTAAGTAAATCACACACTCAATTAATAATGCAGTAATAGTAATGAAATCCTAAAGGGTTCATTTTAAAGAAAAATTTCCTTTTTAGATGAAACATGGTACTTAGAGGAATGTTTGTGTTCCTTGCTATTTATTTATTATTTATTTATTAATAATAAACCTTCACTGTTTATATTCTCTTTTCCTGCTAATTATAGTTTCCTTTAAACGTCCAATAGTTGCTTTATATCTCTGTTTTAAAAATACATTTGAATTGTTTTGCTGAAAAGCACCAGTGTTTCTTGCTATAATTTTTCTTGTATTTTAAGCTTGGTTGCCTTCTTTATGCTAAGGACTAAATTGAAAAAACTGCCCACATAAAGTAGGGCCCTCTGATGACCTAGTGTCATACAGTAACACTCATATTATATAGAAACAATGTCCTTATTCGGGATTTGGTTTATCACATTCTCTTCCCTCCTGTGTTTGTCAGAGATTTGAATGTGATGCCAAATACGCAACCCTCTCCCAAGACAAAGAAATATATATATATTTAAAGTATATACAGTATATATATATATATATATATATATATATATATATATATCACATAATCTCGAGTAATTAACTTAGAATACTGTAATGAATTGTGTTCATTTTAATAAATGTGTGAGCAAAGACTGACAGTTTAGATTGTTGTTTTCTTTTTAATTTACTTTGCAGGTCACTGCCTACAGCGTATGTGGCAATCAGGCTGTATCCAGTAATTATTCTGTCAAGCTGGACCTTCAAAATGTTCAACTACTGCTGCTCCTGAATCTGCACTCCATTTACAAGTACCGTTAAGGTCAGTGGCGGAGCTAGAACATTTTCCTCAGGGTGGCCAGGCAGAGACCACAAAGGCCAAAAACCAGCTTAAGGTCTATCTATTTGAACTAATCACACTGTTTGACAAGATCTGTGTATTTTTACGATAAATAGCTAGACACAAACAACATTTTCATCCATCTCTTGCTAATAAATCCACATGCTTATTTAGCTATGTTTTTAAATTTAATCATTTGTGCTTCTGCATAATTTAGAAATTAAATGGGTTGAGCAGTTATTCTTTCTCTTGAATTGCTTGTAAATTGCTGCAGAGAGATAATTTTCACCACCATAAAACACAAAAGCTATTGTTAAAAGAGCAGGAACTTCATGGACATATTTATGCCATTAGCACCATAAGCATCCGCTTCAGAAGACTGTTAAGCAATAAGACAGTCGCATTTTCTCAATATGTGAACTTGTGCTTTGCCATGTGCTCGTGTGTGAAACATCATCAGCCTCAGCTGTAGTACTGTTCAAATTCACAAGAACACAAGAGCGAGAACGGACAAAGTCCCCCGATGTTGTTCTCCCTCTTTACCAAGTATTCATCAGTGCAGACTTGCCTGTTCTTGAGATTGACAGATTTCCCAGCGTGCACCACGGAAGCAGCAGCTTACAGTGGAGCACTCACAAAGCTCAGACTATTAAGTTTAAAGATCTGTTTTCTGTTGGCATGCATCTATAAAAATATGTTTCAAGGTAATTTGAGGCAAAAACATTATACTTTTAAGCATCCCTATATGGCCCATTTACTGATTTAGAGCGCAATCTAAAACAAGTTCCAATGTTGAGAGGACCGTGGCAACCAGCGGTCCTCCAAGGCTAACCGCAGCCAGTACCACTCCTAGCCTGTCTGCTGCAGCCCTCTCTCAGCATAGCTGTGTGTGAAGGACCGCTGGCTCTGATGCCAATTATTTGTTTTAATTGGCAAAATTTTAATTTGATTTGTGTTTATCTGACTGTGTTATTATCACCCCACAAAATTATAAAAGTAAGAATTGATTATTATCTAGAGACTATTAACCCTCCTGTTATGTTCATTTATTAGGAACAGCAATGCTGTTCCCGGGTCAGTTTGACCCGGTGCATGTTTAATTATCCAAAAGATGTCTGAAACCAAAAAAAATCCCCAAAAGCATTCTTAATATTTCATTGCTAACTCCATTACTAACTATTCTATGAATATTTAGTCCAATAGTGTTCCTTACCTCTAACAGGTAATGATCCAATTATGATAATTCACTCGTTTTTCAAAAAAAAAACCTGCATGTTCAAACTTTTTTTAATGTTTCACCACTTTATTACTTTTGAAAGACCAACATATAAAACACAATAGTTGTACACAACGTTGAAACTTAACATTTAAATATTTTTTTACATACATGCACTGTTTGGGAACCAGAAATGAACAAAGTCGCAATACAAAAATACAAAAAAACAAGCAATTGCAATATGAACAAGGTGTATGTGCGTGTGTGTCTGTCTGTCTGTCTGTACATCTACACAGCACACGAGTGACATGTCATCACACTGTGCTTTGTGCAAATGAATTTTGCACATTTCGAGCAGGTCATGCTTGTCTTGCATCGTCAGATGGCCTGCAGACCTGGCACCTCTTCCTCTTTTTTTTCACCTCAGCAGCAATCTATAAACAAGAGGACCATGATTACTTTACTATGGTGTCTTTTTGCTGATCCCAAGACACACACTCTCATACACTTATACACACACGCGCACATACACACACACAAACAAATACACACACACAGACACACCCACTTACTTACTTACTTACCTCACGCATTGGTGTACTTGATGCAGTCCTCTCCTGGATCTCCCTCACTGTGGCTGCATCGGCTAGGGTCCTTGGCAGGTGCATCCTCCGTCTGATGTGCGGCGTCAAAAGCGCCTTCCCCAGCTCCTCGAGAAAGATGCGCCTCTTGTACAGCTTTGACACATTCCAGTCAGGAAATATCTCCGTCCAGATGATAAATGCATTGTAGGCTGATACATGGCTCATGTTATAAAAGATGACCAATGGCCAGTGCGCAGTCATCCGTTTGGTGCTGTAGGACCCTGTCACTTTGTCAAAGATGTCTACCCCCCCTTTGGTGGCATTATAATCAAGGATCATGCTTGGTGTTTGATCCTCTCTTGCGCTGATTTCAGCAGTTTTGTGCAGAGTGCTCATGAGCACAACATTATTTGCCTTTTTGGGGCAGTAAGACACTAGGGCTGTGATATCTGTGAAGGCAAGCATGGGAGATTGAGGGGCCCTGTCCTTGATTACCAGCAGCTCAGCAGGGAGTTCAGCCCTGTTCTTTTGGACAGTTCCGACCATTGTGAGCTTTCTCTTTAGAAGCTCCTGACCCAAGTTGTACTTTGTGAAAAAATTGTCACAGGTTATGTTCTGTTCCCTGAGACCCTGTGCCATGTCGAGCATGACCCTTGTGCCCTGATTCTTCTCTGGGGCTCCTCGAACCGGCTTTCCAGTGTAAACCTGCATGTTCAAAGCATAGCTGGTGTTTGCATCAAATGTTGCCCAGATTTTTATCCCATATTTAGCCGGTTTGGAAGGCATGTATTGCCTAAATGGGCAGCGACCTCTGAATGCCACCAGCCTTTCATCCACTGTGACATTAGGGCCTGGTTTATAGAGTAGTGGAAGTTGCTCTACCTACTTGTCCCACACTGTCCTAACAGCTGCCAGCTTGTCTCTCTCCCGTCTACCAGCCCTTGTCTCTCGATTATCAAATTTGTGTGTGGGTGGGTGTGTTTGTGTGTGTGGGTGTGGCCATGTCTTTAATACCTGGTGGGGACAATTTCCTAGGAATATGCTACATTTTGGGGACTCATAGGTACTTGTGGGGACCAACAACTGGTCCCCATAATGAAAGTTTCTCTTCTTGGTGTGGGGGTTAGGTTTAGGACCAAGGTGTGAATTGAGTTTAGGTTAGGTTTAGGGATAGGTATGTGTCGGTAATGGTTAGGGTTAGGGCAAGGGTCACGGTTAGGCCATATAAATTAGTGGGAAATGAATGGAAGTCAATGGAAGGTCCCCACAAGGATATTGTGACAGAACGTGTGTGTGTGTTCGTGTGTGTGTGTGTGTGTGTGAGATGTCTCACAGTTGCAAAGAAAGAAATAGTCTGACATTTCTGACACCGTTTTACCTCCAGTTTGACTGCTGGGTGAAATTGACCCGAACTGTATCTATGTGATATAAACATGCAGGGGGTGGTTGCAAATATGTGAGATGAACCATTTTCATATTATATGTTGATTACACTATTTAAGGCAAGCAGAAGAAGTTTCATACTGAAAAAATACTTTTAACTATTCTTCCTAGATCTTCAAACTTTAAAACGGGTCAATTTGACCCGTAACATAACAGGAGGGTTAATAACAGGAGGTGAAATGCAGCTCCAGACAAGCTGAGCGTTTGGTGATGTCATCAGTACGCTTCTGTTCCAATTGACCCATATTTATGGTGCGTGCTCCCGTTCTCTCCAAAGCCATCCTTTCATGTGTTGTTGTCAAGAACATACTTTGTGAGGAGTCTGTACTCGCATTCTAGTGAATTGAGAAACAGCCGGTCTTTAGTCAAAAACTCCTCCAGATCTGATGCAAGACCCACTTCTTTGCGGCATACCACTATTAACATGTACAACAACCTGTAAAAAAACTATGAGATACAAAAACATTTAATTTCCAGTTAATTCTTAACATTACATTATTTTTAACTGAATTGAATTTAGTGTTACATTAATAATCCTCCACATTGAGAGGAGTCGACTGAGGTGGCTCAGACATTGGTTTGGATTTCCCTCTGGATGTCTCCCTTGAGAGGTGTTCCATTCATGTCCCATTTGGGGATACGCAGAAAGGACCATGTCCCTTTGCTGGCCCTGGAGCATCTCGAAGCTTCCTCCAGCAGAGCTTGAGGAGATGTCTGGAGAGAGGGATGTCTGAGAGTCTCTGCTGAGTACGGGTATCTTGATGTAATTAAATTATTACTGTACATTTGTGTCAGTTTATGGTTAATATGCTAACAATTAAAGTCTCAAATTAGTTATGACTCTGCTACTATCTTCTATTTTAGAGGAAAAGTAGTTTCTCTGAAGTTGCTTAATTACATCCACATGGGAACAGCAAATCACCTGCTAGCGGTAGCCAAATCTGTGGCCAATGAATGGCCAGGGCCACCCCTGCTAATCCCCTAGCTCCTCTCCTGGTTGGCACGGCAGCCTCTTTCTGAAGAAACATAATATTGATTTTAGTTGCTACTGAAGTTAGAAACCTCCTTACCTAAAACTAAAAATTAGTGCAAAATGTTAAAACATTTAACTGGATTTTCTCATATGATTGTTGGCAATTTTTACAGTCTGGTTCAGAATCTATGCTCGGCTGCTAATCAAATCAAGACACCATGCAGATTATATCCAGGTCTTTGTATTGGACATATTTTTGTTTTGTTCACCAGAACCATTTTGATTTTATGACAGAAGAACAAGTAAATATTATCAAGTCGGAAAATTACTTTAGTTTTTTGGATGGATTTCAACTTCATCTTAGATGGAGCAGCTTGACAGATCTTATTTTGAAATGTGCTCTGGATAGCCATGAACTTTAATGTTTACTGCTTGCATAAATAGACATTCTTTTTTCTATTTTTTTTTTCCTCTGGAAATATCCTTTAATTCTACATCGTGCTGTCTTTGACTTTTCCCAAAACACTGATGGTGGTTTTAAATGGCTAAGCGGTTGAAGTGCTTTCCTCTGTATATTGTTTTTATTGACTCAGACAGTTGAGGAGCACATAGTGAGAAACTTGAAGATCGAAAAGGGAGTGAGATAATACACCAGGGGTAGTTTATGCTTGGAGCCTTGTCGGTACTCACAGCACACAGAGCAAACACAGTGTCCAAGGTTCTTTTGTTTGTTTGTTTTCAAGATCATCAAAGTGTGTTTTTCCAT